ACACTCGAACAGCACGTCAAACTATAAACTCCACTACTTGCCCCCATTCACCCTTATCTGATACGCTCACACAAGCCTGATGCTGGATGCTGAAGCCTCTGATACTCCAAACATCCTTAACTCCCTCCCTTAAACCCTTCCTGGGATGGCCCCAGCCCCTCCTTCCCCCACCCGATTTGTATACGCTTTTAGTTACCCGCTCTATCCTTTCTAAGTGCCCACGCCACAACAACAACCCCTCATCAGCCCTTATTATTATACCTTCAGAAACCCCACATTCTTCGAATTTCTGCGCTCAGAATTCACATCACACATTGCTCTCAAACATGACATCTCCAGGGGTCATGCAGCGCCTTGTGTCTACTGGAGGTGTAAAAGAAGGTGAATGTACACTCATTACCTTCACGGAACCACCTTCTATAAGGGACCAGGAGCTGTACAACTCATCTATACAAGACCAGCTGTACAGCAACCCAGCTTCTACGAGGATAAAAATACAACATTTAAAATTCAAATATTTTATTTCATACAAAACTGTACAAAGCAGTAGTGAGACCTCTGTTCCTAAGAATAATGAAAATGACGATGATGATGATTATGATGATGAGGAAAATGAAGATTAGGGATGACTGAAATTGAAATTGAAACTGACTTGTTGAAAATATATATATCTATATATATATATATATATATATATATATATATATATATATATATATATATATATATATATGTGTGTGTGTGTGTGTGCCGAATAAGTAAAACTTGCGATTTTGGCTTAAATAGCACCGCTCTTCTTGCCGAATAAGACAAGCTAAAATTTGTGTATGAATAATTTAGCAAAAATTATTCTGAACCTAACGAAAAAAATATTTTATTGTGTTTGTTTATTATTAAATGATTAAAAACTTATATAAAATATATTTAGTTAGATTAGACTAAATTAAATTGCGCTTGTTACAAGGTTAGGTAAGTTTCCTAGGGTTCTTTTGGTAAAAAATTATTGATTTTTTACATTAACATAAATGAAAAATTATATCTTTAAATGTATAAGATCATATTTTAGAAAGGACTTAATTTTAAATGAGTTCTTCCTAACCGACCAGTTTTACCTATTCGGCATATATATATATATATATATATATATATATATATATAATATATATATATATATATATATATATATATATATATATATATATATATATATAATACAATCAATCATGTTGAATGAGTGGGAGGGAGTTGGAGGTAATCAGGTTTGATACGAGGAAGTAGAAAGCAGCTCCAATTCCTTGCATCAAGAGCCCTTAGAAACATTGTTCTGCATACCACCCTCGCGGGGCCATGAAGGTTGGTTAATGGTGTTTAAAGCCTATCGACTACACGAGGGTCATTAAGGCTAAACGTAACATATTTGACCACCAGAATCCCAAAAATAGGGATCAAATTTAACTCTCAAGTGTATTTACGTTGAGTTACAATAAATCTCTCAGGGTATATATATCTTGTGGATAAGATATTAAACACAGCTAATATAAACTGAGTCATAATAAAAGATAAAAGTCAACGAGAGTTACGTAAGTTTTGGATATTTCATTTTTATATATTTGCAACTTAATCAAACCCAGCAGTCTAACTTTATATCGTTGAAATTTTCTAAAGGTAAAAATAGCCTAATTTACAAAACCAAGCTTAAAATTTCATAGAATTCAGCTTTTTTTATTTCTCTCGACGAAACCTGATTTTCAGGTGATCAAGGTTGTATAGGACAGTATAATAATAATAATAGTATTACTATTATTATCATATGCATATATATTTCAACTCTTATTATTGCATTCATAGGAAAAGCGCTAAAGCCACAGGGACCATATAGCACCTGTAGAGGAATGGGATGGCAATCAAGATGGATCCAAGGACAGGGAAGAAAGGTTAAATTTCTTGGATCAAGAGCCTCTCACAGACGTCAAAGAACCTCTCTTGAGGGTTGTCTACTCTAAGAAACCTACATAATTTTTACCTTTTTTTTTAAGGTATTTCTGCTTTACCTATAATTCAACAAATCTACATAAATAAATCTGCTCATTTTCTATATAATTATGTCGTGAAGATTGAGGTATGGTTACCATGATTTTTAACAATGTCTGCCATGATTTTTAACAATGGCTGCCATGATTTTTAACAATGGCTGCCATGATTTTCAACAATTGCTGCCATGATTTACGATACAGTCCTCCATTTTTTTTAATTGTGGCTTGAAGAGTCATTTTGTGTATGTATTCAACACCAAAATTATTTGATACAGACATGAGCAGAAAACACACACACACACACACACACATACACACACATTTCTGATACATGCACACCAATGAACGTATATAACATCTTTCTATAATACAATGTAATATAATTTATATGACACTTTTTTATCATATGCAATATATAATGAATGTATTTGACACCTTGCTATAAAACTAACATGATAATTGGTACACGTCACCATATAGTTAAGACAGTACAAATAACTTTCCTCAGAGAAGAACACGGTCACAATTCCGTAGCTGGAACAAGATAGAAACCTCGTAACGACATTTCACTCTGATCTGGACCATCATTAAGACACAGCTGAGACGAGAAAAGTGCATTAGACAAATAACCTACACTTAGGAGAGAGAGAGAGGGGGGGGGGACGAAGCCTCGTCCAAGTCGGGGCAAGGCTTGGTCCCGACTTGGTCAATTTCGAAGTTACGCTGTCATTGGTCCAAGTAGGACCGAAACGTCGTCAGAAGTTTCCCTCTCCTAATTGTGAGTCATTTGTGTATTGTTCCAGTTAAGGTGTTATGAGATTTTTATTTTTTATAGTACAGTAGAGAAGGCCTTAAGATAATACGGTAAGGGACGGAAAAGGCGAGTTGCAACTGTAGTAGTAGTTGTGGCAGTGGTAGTAATAGTAGTAGTGCAAAAAAAAGGAGGAGCACAGGAGATATACTGGCCCATGCAGGGCAGGAACTAGTGTTAGAGTAATGAGAGTGACTTAAATCTGAAGACAGTTTAGAGTCTAGAGATGTATCGGATGTAAAAATTTAGGTATCCGCGGATGCGGATGTGTATGAGGATGTCTTACTTATTTTGCGGATGCAGATGCATATGCGGATATCTGTTTACAGTAAAATGCGAATGCAGATGCAGATGTAAGAAACTGTGCGGATGTTCTGCGGATGCGGATATCCGATACATCTCTAATTTAGACTGAATTATCCGAACACTAACAGATATCACCAAGGCGGCAGAGAAGAACTGCAGTTCGTCAGCTATCCCTATCTACGAAATAAAGCAAGAAAGAAGACAGGGTAGGGAAAGAAAATGCAGAAGACAGGTCAAGATGAAAGAAGAGGAGGCAGATGTCAGGTTAAGTCACGAGTGTTCCGAAGATTAGAGTATATGATGATGCATGGAGAAAGGCAGGTACCTAGAGAAGCAAAAGTCAGCTCTCATATTACTCCTGACCCGCTAGATCTCCTGCAGTGTTCCTCTGTTATTTTGCTCTTTTATACTACTACCACCACCACTATTACTAATACAAATCCTTTCACTATTACCACACCTTATACTTATTCTTCTAATATTACTACTACTGCCGCTATTACCTCATTAATGCCACTACCACTGCTGCTACCTTTAATACAATTACTACTACTACTAGCACCACCACCACCATTATTATTACCACCACAACTTCTACTATCACTCATTTCTTTCCCCTCCCAGTATTATTTGCTGACCTTCTCTACTTTTCTCACTCCAGGTGTGACTTGACAATTCTCCAGGATGGACCAAAACGTTGTCACACGGTGACTGCTGAGTGTGAGTTTTTGGTAAATTCCCTTACAAACTTCACGCTCTTCTAACCCATCTGGTCTAACTTGCTCTAGAAAAATATCGGGAATTTTTCAACAGGGAGGACCAGTCAGAGAGCATCACAGGTCGGAATTAACCAACCCGCAGGGGTTATATAGAGCTTGTGGGAATGGGAGATAATCAGGTTTGATCCGAGGAAGGGAAGGGCAGCTGTAACTCCTCGGATCAAGAACCCTGAAGTGCCCAGAGACTTGCTGGAGGATAATATTGCACGTGAAACAAAGCAGTAACACATGGAACACTGGTCAAAGGATATATACACGCAGCAGTAACACATGGAACACTGGTCCAGAGGATACATACACGCAGCAGTAACACATGGAACACTGGTCCAGAAGATACATACACGCAGCAGTAACACATGGAACACTGGTCCAGAAGATACATACACGCAACAGTAACACATGGAACACTGGTCAAGAGGATACATAGACGGAACAGTAACACATGGAACACTGGTCCAGAGGATACATACACGCAGCAGTAACACATGGAACACTGGTCCAGAGGATATATACACGCAACAGTAACATGGAACACTGATCCGGAGGATGCATATACGCAACAGTAACACATGGAACACTGGTCCAGAGGATACATACACGCAACAGTAACACATGGAACACTGGTCCAGAGGATACATACACGCAACAGTAACACATGGAACACTGGTCCAGAGGATACATATACGCAGCAGTAACACATGGAACACTGGTCAAGAGGATACATAGACGGAACAGTAACATATGGAACACTGGTCCAGAGGATACATACACGCAGCAGTAACACATGGAACACTGGTCCAGAAGATACATACACGCAACAGTAACACATGGAACACTGGTCCAGAGGATACATAGACGGAACAGTAACACATGGAACACTGGTCCAGAGGATACATACACGCAGCAGTACACATGGAACACTGGTCCAGAGGATATATACACGCAACGTAACATGAGACACTGATCCGGAGATGCATATACGCAACAGTACACATGAACACTGGTCCAGAGGATACATACACGCAACATCAGTAACACATGGAAACACTGGTCCAGAGGATACATCACGCAACAGTAACACATGGAACACTGGTCCAGAGGATACATATACGCAGCAGTAACACATGGAACACTGGTCCAGGAGATACATACACACAGCAGTAACACATGGAACACTGGTCCAGAGGATACACACACGCAACAGTAACACATGGAACACTGGTCCAGAGGATACATACACGCAACAGTAACACATGGAACACTGGCCCAGAGGATACATACATACAACAGTAACACATGGAACACTGGTCCAGAGGATACATACATGCAACAATAACATGAAACACTGGTCCAGAGGATACATAGTACCACTAGGCCCTCTTAATGAAGACACATACACTGCAGCAAGTCGTTAAGAGGATACACATCAGTAAGTCGCTGAAATGATACATACACAGCAGTATCTCAAGCACAGGATACACACCTGAGAACCCACACCTGACACCTCAGATTCGGCAATCCTCTGAGAGACCTGGAAGACATACATACACGCGCCTGCGCACCTAAAGTCATGGCTTAAGTCAGATCCACTTAGGTCACAGCACTGTCCATTGTGAGTCATATAAGAGGGGAAGTTCCGGTTCCTCGGATCTAGAGTCCTACACCGGCATCAAGGAATTTCCCTAGAGAGGAGGCAGGACTCTCCTCTCTCCCATTTGATTGTTAATGACCTCTTCTGCAGTCAAGTACCACAGTCCAATTATTCTCTCTCTCTCTCTGTCTATTTCTGTCTGTCTCTCTCTGTATTAAAGGCATTGCTATCTTGTTTCGTTTCATGAGATAATGGGCGAGATGTATCCAGAGAGTTTAGTGATTGACCGTGGATAAAGGGTGTGGGTGGCTGTGTAGGTGAGTGATGCACTGCTTGGTGTAGCTTGTATCCTTGTGGATATTTCTTCGCATGTGTTTTTCATCTCTTGCTTGTTGTCTTCTGCTGACCCTTGTAATGACCTTTCTTACACCCCTTTCCCCGATACTCTTTCTTGCCACTGCATTCCTTTTGATCCTCTCTTCCTCCCCCGCCTCGGTAAATTTGAACTCTTTGCAGGATGGTGCTGAACCCCTCATGAATTCAGATGACCTGTTATGCCTCTTGTTCAGATTGATCTTCCCACATGTTCTCTCCTGACCCCTGGCCCATGACATCCATTATTGCCTCATACACTTAGATAACACATGATGGTCCTTAATCTAAGCAGCAGTAAACAGTTCCTCTCAGCAGATAGTCTCAGTGTGGACTGGCACGTCCCATGTACTCCCATATACCGATCCTCTTTGGCTGATAGTATATACCAACAGTCCTCTCGAATCCCACCAAATAATCTCTGTTGACCTCTCGTGACGTCTACGGGTGATGGTGGACACCAATAGTCTCCTTGATCCAGTCCTCGAAGGCGTCGACGCGGGTGTACACACCAGGGATGTTCCTCCTCCCGCAGCCGATACCGAAGCTTACCACCCCGACCTGGTACCAGTGCTTGTCCTTCTCACACACCAGAGGGCCACCACCGTCACCCTGGGGCAGGGAGAACACAGACTCATAATTAAACTCTGCATTATTGTTACATTCATGGGATAAAAAATGATACCTAATATAAAAAGAATTTTATTAACACAACGATGTGAATGGTTGTAGGAGCGCATGGCTCCTAACTCTATACATATGCTATACCTACACATATGCTATATTTACACATATGCTATACTTACACATATGCTTAATATGTGGCCACACCTCCTACACCAGACTGTGGAAATCATCACCACCAGTGTTATTAGGTACCAGTGTGACTTCATCACCACCAGTGTTATTAGGTACCAGTGTGACTTCATCACCACCAGTGTTATTAGGTACCAGTGTGACTTCATCACCACCAGTGTTATTAGGTACCAGTGTGACTTCATCACCACCAGTGTTATTAGGTGCCGGTGTGACTTCATCACCACCAGTGTTATTAGGTACCAGTGTGACTTCATCACCACCAGTGTTATTAGGTACCAGTGTGACTTCAGAAGATGTAAACAGCTGGTTTTCTTTACATATGGAAAGCTAGCAACAGAATGGCTGATAGATTATTCTAATATAACAACAACTTAATTTTAAAATTATTCAGGGATCGAGTCCCTGGATAAGAACACCTGTAGTAGGTGTATGAATGTTTATGTAATCCTGTTTCAAACATAATGCACAAAAAAGAACACACACACACACACACACACACACACACACACACAGAGTAATGCAATATACAGGGACCAATAAACCTCCTCAGGTCTCCAGACCAACTCTGCTCAGTCAACATCTCTCACTTCTCTCACCTCATCTCTTTTTTTCCTCCTTCCATCATGCCTTCCATTCGTCCACCTTCTTCCTCTGAGCCTAGACATCTTCCTCTGAGCCTAGACATCTTCCCCTTATCCTAGACATCTTCCTCTCAGCCTAGACATCATCCTCTCAGCCTAGACATCTTCATCTCAGCCTAAACATCATCCTCTCACCCTAGATATCAGCCTCTCAGCCTAGATATCAGCCTCTCAGCCTAGAAATCATCCTCTCAGCCTAGACATCATCCTCTCAGCCTAGATATCAGCCTCTCAGCCTAGACATCATCCTCTCAGCCTAGACATCATCCTCTCAGCTTAGACATTCTCTCAGCCTAAACATCTTCATCTCGGCCTAGACATCTTCATCTCAGCCTAGACACCATTCTCTCAGTCTACACATCATCATCTCAGCCTAGACATCATCCTCTCAGCCTAGACATCATCTCAGCCTAGACATCGCCTGTGTTGTGAGTACCTCCAGGTACTTACATCACAGGCATCACGACCCTCCAGGTACTTACATCACAACTCTCCAGGTACTTACATCACAACCCTCCAGGTACTTACATCACGACCCTCCAGGTACTTACATCACAGGCATCACGACCCTCCGCTCCAGCACATAGGGCGGTGCTAGGGAGAGTGTAGCCTGGACCAAACTGATCTCTGAGTGCAGTCTGGCAGGTTGGGTTACTCCAGATTGGCACATTGATCTCCTTCAACACTACACTGTGGTCCGCAGCTGAGGAAGATAACAATCCAGTTATTATCTGATTGTCAAAAATAAAACTCCAGCATCTGATTGTCAAAGATAATATTACAGTATCTGATTGTCAAAGATAATACTACAGTATCTGATTGTGCAAGATAATGCTACAGTATCTGATTGTCAAAGATAATACTCAGTATGTGATTGTCAAAGATAATACTATAGTATCTGATTGTTAAAGATGATACTACCATTAATTTCTGAAGGTCGCTTCAAAGACTGTTGTATTAATATCTTATAGTCTGATAAACCAGTCTGCTATATGCATAAAATATACACCGAAAGGTGTATATCTCAGTGAATACATACCAACAAGTTTATACCCAACAAGAAGTGTATATCTCTCAGTGTATGTACACTGATAGTATACATTAATCCCAACTTTAAGTATTCCTGACTGACGGTGAACATGCAACCTTAATGACCCTCGTGTAGTGGACTAAACCCAGTTAACCAACCTTAATGGCCCTCGTGTAATAGACTAAACCCAGTTAACCAACCTTAATGACCCTCGTGTAATAGACTAAACCCAGTTAACCAACCTTAATGACCCTCGTGTAATAGACTAAACCCAGTTAACCAACCTTAATGACCCTCGTGTAATAGACTAAACCCAGTTAACCAACCTTAATGACCCTCGTGTAATAGACTAAACCCAGTTAACCAACCTTAATGACCCTCGTGTAATAGACTAAACCCAGTTAACCAACCTTAATGACCCTCGTGTAGTAGACTAAACCCAGTTAACCAACTTTAATGACCCTCGTGTAATAGACTAAATCCAGTTAACCAACCTTAATGACCTTCGTGTAGTAGATTTTTAGCTCACATTAAACAAGTTTAATGACCCTCGTGTAGTATAGTGACTTTAAACCTATTAACCAACCTTACTGACCCTTATGTAGTGAATTTGTTTAAAACTCAATTAACCAACCTTAAATTATGGGGTCTTGGGTTTTAGTTATCATTTGTTTAGCTAACCGGCTGGTTGACCGGTTGCTTAGTCATGATTATGTTTATTGCTTTGAGGTAATTATCTGTGTGGCTGGTTCGGTTAAAGTTAGGTTACCTAGTTTGTGTAGTCAAAATAACCAGACTGTGTTAGGGCTAGTTAGTCAATTTATGTTGTTTTAGGGAGAGGGGGAGAGAGGGAGAGGGGGAGAGAGGGAGAGGGAGAGGGAGAGGGAGGGAGAGAGAGAGAGAGAGAGAGACTGGTAAACACTCGAGAGTATCAGACGAGGATTCACAGAAACGAGCAATAAAACTCTCATTAAATGAGATATAAACAACATTAGCAAATGTATTTGTCAAGTGTGTTTGTAAAGTGTTTGTGTGTGTGTACTCACCTATTTGTGGTTGCAGGGGTCGAGTCACAGCTCTTGGCCCCGTATCTTCGCTGGTCGCTACAAGACCCACTCTCTCCTTTATGATACCTCTTCTTAAAGCTATGTATGGATCCCGCCTCCACTACATCACTCTCCAGATTATTCCACTTCCTGACAACTCTATTATTAAAGTAATACTTCCTAAAATCCCTGTGATTCATCTGAATTTTCAACTTCCAGTTGTGACTGTTGCTGTGTCCCATCTCTGCAACATTCTGTCTCTATCCAGCTTGTCAATTCCTCTCATTTTTTTGTATGTTATCGTGTCTTCCCTGTCCTTCCTGTCCTCCAGCGTCGTCAGGTTATTTCTGTATTAATATTAGTGCCACGAAGTGCTTCTTGCTTATTTACAATATTATATATAGACACTACATTTGCAGCTTTCCAATTATAAGATATTTGTCCTGTATCTTATGACATGTTATATATAGTCACGTTAAGCTAACTCCGTTCTAGCGCCCTTGATCCAATACCCAGGGGGATATATTATCAGGTCCCGTAGCTTTTGTGGTGTCCAGTTGTCTCAGCTGCTTCATGACTTCCTCCTTCAATGTTTAAATGTTGTTTATCCAGTTTCATGTGATCTGTTCCATACTTTATGTCGACGGGTACTGTTCCTGTCTCCTCAGTGACAACTCCTTTGAAATTTGAAAGAAAATGGTTATAATCATAACCTCAAGTTGTAAAGGGGTGGAGGGGTAAGCCAGCTGAAGGTCTCGATCAGATGATAAAAAGTTCCGGCGGCGGGTTATTATATGACTATGACTCGTGTCAGGAAATACTTGTTCTGTTTCCTGACAAATCTTACCTAACCTAACCTATCCTACTCTGAGTCTTCCACTTAGTTCCTTGTACACTTCTCTGAGTCTTCCACTTAGTTCCTTGTACACTTCTCTGAGTCTTCCACTTAGTTCCTTGTACACTACTCTGAGTCTTCCACTTAGTTCCTTGTACACTTCTCTGAGTCTTCCACTTAGTTCCTTGTACACTACTCTGAGTCTCCCACTTAGTTCCTTGTACACTTCTCTGAGTCTTCCACTTAGTTCCTTGTACACTTCTCTGAGTCTTCCACTTAGTTCCTTGTACACTACTCTGAGTCTTCCACTTAGTTCCTTGTACACTTCTCTGAGTCTTCCACTTAGTTCCTTGTACACTACTCTGAGTCTCCCACTTAGTTCCTTGTACACTTCTCTGAGTCTTCCACTTAGTTCCTTGTACACTTCTCTGTTCTCCGGTCTATTTCTTTTGTCTTATCACTTCATAAAACAAAATAAGCTCAGCATATGTGCTCACTGATCTGTGTTTGAGGGCGGTCGATACCTAGCTCTTGGCCCCCGCCTCTTGGACCAGTTTGATCGGCATAACTAACTTCTGGCCTCTTGGGCCTATAATACCTACTCCTAAAACTGTGTACTGACTTTACTCCCACCACCACTGTGTGTGTGTGTGTGTGTGTGTGTGTGTGTGTGTGTGTGTGTGTGTGTGTGTGTGTGTGTACTCACCTATTTGTACTCACCTATTTGTGGTTGCAGGGGTCGAGTCACAGCTCCTGGCCCCGCCTCTTCGCTGATTGCTACTAGGTCCTCTCTCTCCCTGCCCCATGAGCTCTATCATACCTCGCCTTAAAACTATGTATGGTTCCTGCCTCCACCACATCACTTTCTAGGCTATTCCATGGCCTGACTACTCTATGACTGAAGAAATACTTCCTAACATCCTTTGATTCATCTGAGTCTTCAACTTCCAATTGTGACCTCTTGTGTCTGTGTCCCATCTCTGGAACATCCCGTCTTTGTCCACCTCGTCTATTCCGCGCAGTATTTTATATGTCGTTATCATGTCTCCCCTGACCCTCCTGGCCTCCAGTGTCGTCAGGCCGATTTCCCTCAACCTTTCTTCATAGGACAATCCCCGTAGCTCTGGGACTAGTCTTGTTGCAAACCTTTGCACTTTCTCTAATTTTCTTGACGTGCTTGACTAGGTGTGGATTCCAAACTGGTGCTGCATACTCCAGTATGGGCCTGACGTAGATGGTGTACAGAGTCTTAAACGAATCCTTACTGAGGTATCGGAACGCTATCCGTAGGTTTGCCAGGCGCCCGTATGCTGCAGCAGTTATCTGATTGATGTGCGCCTCAGGAGATATGCTCGGTGTTATACTCACCCCCAGATCTTTTTCCTTTAGTGAGGTTTGCAGTCTTTGGCCATCTAAACTATATTGTGTCTGCGGTCTTCTTTGCCCTTCCCCAATCTTCATGACTTTGCATTTGGCAGGGTTAAATTCTAGGAGCCAGTTGCTGGACCAGGCTTGTAGCCTGTCCAGATCTCTTTGTAGTCCTGCCTGATCCTCGTCCGATTCGATTCTTCTCATTAACTTCACATCGTCTGCAAACAAGGACACTTCTGAGTCTATCCCTTCCGTTATGTGTGTGTGTGTGTGTGTGTGTGTGTGTGTATGCGTGTGTGTGTTTGAATATCTAGTTTCAAATGCATATCACCGTAATATCAACTAAAAAAAATAAAACAAATTAATTTTATAAATACATTAACTTTCGATTTATTCTGACGCAATGAACGTTTTTTCTGAGCTACCAGAGTTAAAAATTAAATTACAGCATCTAACAACACAATCAACAAAATTTACACAACTGTGACTTATATATATATATATATATATATATATATATATATATATATATATATATATATATATATATATATATTATTATATTATATATATATATATATATATATATGATGTCACTGGTTTAAAGAAGAAGGGGGTCCAGTACTACGAGTGTCATCGGATCTCACAACTGACTCTGTGCGACTTAATTAGGTCTCTGGAGGGATCCTGTACATATCGAGTTTCAAGAGAAGGTGCATCACAAAATCTGCAAATTTTATTTAATTTCTCCCTTGAGAAACACATCATGTTTGCTGTGAAACATTTATTAATAGAGGTTTCATTATATCGGCTATAAATTCTGGGCATATCTAAAGTTTGAAAAATGGTATACAAAGAATGTTGGGATAAGGCGTACCTAGCAAACACACTGAAGTGTTAAGTCTGATGGTCATAAACACACTAAGAGTGTTAAGTCTGATGGTCATAAACACACTAAGAGTGTTAAGTCTGATGGTCATAAACACACTAAGAGTGTTAAGTCTGATGGTCATAAACACACTAAGAGTGTTAAGTCTGATGGTCATAAACACACTAAGAGTGTTAAGTCTGATGGTCATAAACACACTAAGAGTGTTAAGTCTGATGGTCATAAACACACTAAGAGTGTTAAGTCTGATGGTCATAAACACCACTAAGAGTATTAAGTCTGATGGTCATAAACACCTAAGAGTGTTAAGTCTGATGGTCATAAACACACTAAGAGTGTTAAGTCTGATTGGTCATAAACACACTAAGAGTATTAAGTCTGATAGTCATAAACACACTAAGAGTGTTAAGTCTGATGGTCATAAACACACTGAAGTGTTAAGTCTGATGGTCATAAACACACTAAGAGTGTTAAGTCTGATGGTCATAAACACACTGAAGTGTTAAGTCTGATGGTCATAAACACACTAAGA